ATGATTTACTTTATTCTTTGCATCTTGATAAAGATGCAAAGATTCATTTTAAGTTGAAAATTTAATCTATTTAAAATAATACAGTGAACTCCCATATAACATGGNTGTTGGGATTGATTGTAAATTTTTAAATATAAATTTTGATTTCCTTTACAAATAAAGTAATTTTTATGTCTCTGTTTCACTGTTTTGTAAAATTTTTATTAGTTATAGTATTGTATTGTCCTGTTTATATTTAACAGCTTAGCTTTGTTTCTGTTCAATAAATTGAATTTTACAGTAAAATACTTGGAAACTCTAAGTAATAAAAGCCAAATTAAATAGTTTAATTTTTACAATATTGACTTAAAATGGATAAAAGCATTATTAAATAATTATTATTTATTCGTGTATATTGACTTCTTTCGAAGAAATAATCATTTATTGTACAGTTTATTTAAGCTGAAAATTATTCTCTTGTCTTTGATGAAATTTGTTACAATTTACTAATTTGTACAAAAACATTAAATTATAAATATTGACATTTGTTAACTTTTATTAATTTGTACCCAAAACAAAGGAAATACTGAGTCTAGCTGAAGTTAACAAAAATATATATAAAACTATGGCCGACGGTCACATCCTTATAACGCAACAAAAATTTTGTGGCTTAAACTCATACAGTGCAATAAACAGTCCCATGTAATGCATAAGATAAATTTAACGTTTTCACATAGTTTCAGATTTTTTGTTTAGAAAAGTGAAAATATACACTTACCAGTTGTTTATATACGAACAGTGAAGCCAACAGTTTAAAAATGAATTTTTTTATTGTAAATAATCCTCAACCTCTGGTACAAAACAGTTCTAAAAACCAATTTTTAAACATTTCACATATAATCCATGCTTTTTTATTAGCTCTCCAGTGAACAGGAAGCATTGATTTGTCTAAGTTTTTCATTACACATGGACTTAATGTACAATTAATTAACATTAGCTTAGTTATATGTTCTCCAGTTGCATTAGAACACAAAAGTAAAGGTTGTAAACTCCGCGAGGCACATGGTCTGCAGTTTCAGATACACGAGGAAAAGAACAAAGGGAAGGACAATGAACAGTCGGTGGAAACGTGTAACTAGACAAACAAAAGTTCATTTTAGTCGAAAAACGTGGTACAATATTAATACGAAGATACAGTTCAATACCAGACACATACAGCATAACAATAACAAAATTGCTTGATATTCCCCCTTTCAAAATTCCTTCCTCACACGAGGCCCTGCTTTGCCCAACAAGTAATATAGATCCAACAGATAAAAAAAATTTTTTTACAAATAAATTTTGGGAAACAGAGTACCTAAGGGACTTGACAAATTTCTTCCGTAACGGTACAATCGTTGGCTTCGATGGAGACAGATTTTCATTTCGCGCTGCACTTCTTGAACTCTATCGACAGTCGACTCTCTTCATGATTACATATTGTCTCTCCTTCTGTCCATGGCCTACTCCCTCGAAGAGGAAAGCCAAAAGTGCTTTTTTATCCGTTACATATGCTTTTATAACTCCCTCCAACTACGTCACTCTGTCCCATGTGATCCTGTCATGGACCAATGTGATGTCGGAAAACCCAGCCATTGGCTAACAGGTGGTATCAAGGAAGGAAACGGAAAAGAACAGTACAAAACATACGCGTGACGCGACATAAACGGAAAACAAAAGAAAAAAGTATATAATACAATAATAGCCACGAAGTGCTACAAGGTGAAGTAAAGATATTCTGTTTTTTGATGCCTTGAAACCAGAAGTCTTATCTTTCGCAATATATGTTCTGTTGGGCATTTTTTTCCAATACAAAGCAAATTCATCAATGTTATAGACTTGTTCTGCTATATAATTGCCTTCCTGTATAATTTTGGGAAATCTTTGACCCTTTGCGGTAACAGTTAAAATTTGGACATGTTTGAACTTGCTTAAATTGGTCCAATAATGTAGGTCCCCTATAACATAATTTCCTACAACATGGAATGTATCCCCCATGTTATATGGGAGTTCACTGTATTATTTTAAATAGATTAAATTTTCAACTTAAAATGAATCTTTGCATCTTTATCAAGATGCAAAGACAAAAGTAAATCATTATATGTATATATATATATATGTTACTGTGAATGACTGAAATCTGGCGAATGTCAGCATTCACACAGTCGTTTCGTGTATGTACGAAATATTTGCTAAATATCATTATTTCTCACTTACACTGGCAAATGTTGACATTCAGCATGCACTGATGGTGAATGTTGAATAAAAATATTTTTATTATGTTAAGTCAAAAATGCAACTTTTTAATATGTCAAAATAGGAGAAAGCTTAAGTAATGTACATGTAAATAAACTGTTGAACCTAAAACGAACAGTACATTCTTAATCAGAAAATAAATTAATTCAATAATAAACTTACACAGAAATTATGTGATTAACATTATTCAATCTTATTTATTGCAACAACTTAAATTGTTATGGCACTTTGAATTGCACAAGAGTCCCTTGCTTTTACAACTGCATTTATTCGTGGAACACTTCTCTTTGCAATGGTTAAAAGCAAGGGACTCTTGTCCCTTGCTTTTACAACTGCATTTATTCGTGGAACACTTCTTTTTGCAATGACAGCGTGTATAGCCTTGCCCTCCGCTTTTCAAATTACCTGCAGTTGCTTCTCTCAGTGATATTTCTTGAGAAGAAATCTCATCTATGGAAAGTAACTTTTCTTTACAAATTACGAATTGATTATGTTGTTACGTGATTACGAACTGATCTGTTAATGGTGTCTTTTATTTGGATATTGCCGACGTCTTACCGACGACCCCTATCATCCTCCACCACTCAACCTGACAAACTGATCCCCATCTCACGGAATCAAAAGAACAAAAACACTATCCAGTGGGCAGTTTCTACCAAACCATTGCCAGGAAAAGCGGTACTACCTTATCCTACCTCCAGCTACCCATAAAGGATTTGGTGACAGACTGTCGCCTCTCTGTTGACATTGGTTTCTTGAGTGTCGTTTCGACCTTCACCAAAGCTTATCTGGGCTTATTGACATACACCAGCGATTGTTCGAATGTATAATAATTAGTTATGTACCGGATCGTTAAAAATGTATATCCGTGGATACAGATACAGATCATTAGTGTCTAGATCCGCAAATACAGATATGGATCTCAACTTTCGTACTCAGTCAGCGCCGGTGTGTGTGACCTTGGACCGATAGTTGATGCTTTATGTTAGTAACTCAACGTGTTTTGACTTGCACTGTGCATGTTTTTGGAGAGTGTTGAGTTAAATTAAAATAAAAACAATGTCGACAAAAATGTTTTACAGTGTAATACGGAAAAATATTTTACGATAAAATTTTTGCAATATGAATGTGCCAAATATGTGANCCTTTCAAACAGCCGTAGTCCGTAAACTGCACACGTGCCGGGCTGTGATTGGCTCATGTATTTAAGGATTTCTACAACACGAAATTCTTATAAAGTGGGATGTATCTACCATGTTATAGGGGGATCGACTGTATATTACTAAAAAAATATTCACAAGCACACTTAATTAGAAAAGTTGCAGCTTTAAAAGTACATATTAACCAAGTTTTATATTTTAGATTCATCAGAACATTTATCAGATTTATGGACCAGTTCAAGGAGTTTTTTTATTTATTTATTTGGACATAAACTCAGCACAAGAGAAATCCTTAAAATGGGTCTTTAAAATGGTTAAAGCCTTCACTGTCTCAATTTTAAGTCTTTTTTTTTCCTGTCTGTCCACAGTGCATTTATTAATGAAAAAACACATTCAACAGCTGCATTCGATCCTGGCAGTGCCAAACAAAAACTAACTAGGCATTTTATATTCTCAAGATTTATATCCTGCTTCGTAAAATGAGCAAATATATCACACCATTTTTCACTGACACTTTAATCTTTGATTGTTTGACTTGCAAAATTTTAACATGTTTCTCAAAAAAGTAGCAGATTAGACAATATTATGTATGATAGACTTTATTATTCATTAATAAAGTTAAAAGAAGCTTTATGTTTGAAGTATGTCTCAAATATTTATACTTTTCCATTTTATCCCTACGTGTCACATTGTGTATCATGTTCATCAACTGCATGATGTCATGTTGCGAGCTTTCACAGTGCTTATGAAATGACTCAATGTAATCAGATTACAATTTCAGGTTATATTAATACATGCTGTTGAGGAGAATGATGATTCTGTTCACATTTTTCAATTTGTTTATGCAAATGAAAAATTAAACAAAAACATCATTATGCACAAATAGGAATGTAATATACCATATTTCAGAATATGAAATACATCTTAACATTATTTTTAAAAAAGTAATAAAATGTAGTTGTTTTAAGAATGTTAAAATCCAAAATGACATTGTAACAAAGCAATTTGTAGTGTAATTTTGGTGTGCACATATTGAAATCAAAGGTTAGTTTTATCATTTCTTTTACATTTGAGTTTTGTAGGGTTGAGGAATTGTCATCTGAGTTTTGCCTGTAATTTTTAAAAGTGAAGTACTATTCTAAGTGTAGGAAAGTAACTAGCAGTGCCAAACAAAAACCTTTAAATTTTAATTCAAGCATTAAGAAGTAAATGTTTTAATATAACAAAATTAACAAAAAGTACTTACTTGTAATAATTTAGAAAATTTGTTTTGGTTATTTTCATAGATTTTGAATTTTTTAATAGCATGCTGATGTAAAACAGCATTTCATGAAATAGTGCAACATTTGTACAAGACACTATGCAACACGTGGGTATAAAATGGAAAAGTACCCTAATATTATTAATTATTAATAATAAAATTTTGTGAATTAAGCATGCTTTTTGAATCTGTTATAAACATAATACTCTTGATATCATAATATTATTAATGCTTTATATGTATGAAATATATATGTAAAATTATTTTATATTTGAATTGATAATCTTTCCATTATATTTTTTTAGTTAACTGCTCGTTTTTTTCTCGTAAGAAAAAGCATTTTAGAGACAAATACTTAGCAAAACATAATGCTATATTTGATCAGTTAGATGTTGTTACATATGAAGAAGTGGTTAGGTTACCATCATTCAGAAGGAAAACACTTGTCTTATTAGGTAAATTTTTATTTTATTAAAAACTAAACTAAATAATATTTTATATAAATTATTAATTATATTAACTATTTTAGGTGCTCATGGAGTTGGTAGAAGACATATAAAAAATACACTTATCAGCAATCACCCTAATAAATATGCTTATCCCATTCCACGTATGTTTATAAAATATTTTACATGAATAACTTTTCAAAAGAACTTAAAATGGTTTATAATGAGGTTTTATTGTGTATTTGCATATTTTAAAGATACGACAAGGTTGCCAAGAAAAGGAGAAGAAAATGGTAAAAATTACTATTTTGTGTCTAATGATGAAATGATGGCAGATATAGCTGCTAATGATTATCTTGAATATGGAACACATGAAGATGCTATGTATGGTACAAAGCTTGAAACTATACGTAAATTACATCAGGAAATGAAAATGGCCATACTTGATGTTGAACCTCAGGTAATCTATATGATAAATTTCTTATTTTGATGATAAGATTTATATTATAACTACTCAATGTCAGTAAAATATGGCTGAAAACATTATAAATTATTCTGGTTAATGCAATTTTTAAGGTTTTTTTTTAAGTGTTTTTATATAATGATATTACTGAATATATTGCAATAAGGATTTTGTGAGGTCACATTACTTGATATCACAGTTAGAAAATGAAAGAAAGTACCAAATTTTGAATATATGTTCAAAAAGGGTCTTCACTGCATGGTGCAAGTGAAAGGAGGTATTGTACATAGGTGTGCATCCAAGATGAAGGATCACTCATTTTTTTGAGATTAAAATGCCATTTATTGTTCTTACATTATCTGCAAGAACAACTGTCCATCACCAAAGTTCACTAAATTAACTTGTATGTTCTTATTGTCAGTCTGCACATGGAGGAATCCTAGGATATACTTGCAGTAAGGAGGTGAATCCTGAATCTGTGGCATCTCCAGGCCATGGAAAAGAAGTTGAATCTAGAAAGAGAGAAGAATAACATATCTTTAGATAGTTGGCTAGTTTATCTCAAAGGAGGATTTGGTGATGATGATCACAGAGGTAATCTAGGAGGCAGTACCACAGCAAGTCAGATAGAACAAAATAAGAGCAAGGTTTTTATGGATTAGGTTCCTTGATCTCACATTCAAATTGGTCGCAAATATTCCTTACAACTCAGTTGGTCTCTCACCTGTTTCTAGATAAAATTAAACCACAAGAAAGATTGACATTGATAATTAATTTGACACTGAATTTAATCCCAATTAGGGATGATTGTTTATCTTAAGATAGGATTCCCATAATGTTTTTTTTAAAAACTGGGACATTCCCACATTTTTACTTATAAAACCTGGGACAAGCTAAAAATGAAGAAAATCAAAAATTAATCTATTAAATATTATATGTTGCACTTTAAATAACATACTGATATAACAATACACACATTAACATAGTGTCTTATTTTTTAAAAATTCAATTTATTTTTGCAAAAACAATTACAGTCGACCCCCCCTATAACGCGGGTTCATATAATGCGGATTCATATATCGCGGCAAAAGAATTGTGACCCTGTTTGTATAAAGATGCTAAAAGAGACTCGTAAAATGCGGTAAAACGTCATCACCGACTCATATCGCAACAGGATTGGTCGAATCTGGACCAATAGTGGACAAGCAGCTGAACTACTTACACGCTACGGAGAGGTTAGGCGGGTAAGTTGAGTTTACTATTGTCTGTACAATATATAAATTAGGTACTGTAAGTGTAATACAGTACTGTAATTTTATACATTTCTTGTGAAAAAAACATTTCTTATTCAACGGCCATAAAAATTATTTCTATTAATGATGTTTCCAAAGTTCAACGAATTTTTCGCAGAAAAATAACTTATCAGAAAACGTGCTAACCATTTGGTGCGCTGCTCCGTGACAAAAACAAGCTTAAGCAATGGCGTCATTGAACAGTGCACACTCGTTAAGTAATCCTACAATTTTTTGTTTATAGCATAGTTTATACGGATTATTCCCAAAAAATTATATGTGTTTTGGAAATGTTGAGTCAAATTAGTCTAGAATCAATTAATTTTATGGAAGAAAACCTTTCAAACAGCCGTAGTCCGTAAACTGCACACGTGCCGGGCTGTGATTGGCTCATGTATTTAAGGATTTCTACAACACGAAATTCTTATAAAGTGGGACGTATCTACCATGTTATAGGGGGATCGACTGTATATTACTAAAAAAATATTCACAAGCACACTTAATTAGAAAAGTTGCAGCTTTAAAAGTACATATTAACCAAGTTTTATATTTTAGATTCATCAGAACATTTATCAGATTTATGGACCAGTTCAAGGAGTTTTTTTATTTATTTATTTGGACATAAACTCAGCACAAGAGAAATCCTTAAAATGGGTCTTTAAAATGGTTAAAGCCTTCACTGTCTCAATTTTAAGTCTTTTTTTTTCCTGTCTGTCCACAGTGCATTTATTAATGAAAAAACACATTCAACAGCTGCATTCGATCCTGGCAGTGCCAAACAAAAACTAACTAGGCATTTTATATTCTCAAGATTTATATCCTGCTTCGTAAAATGAGCAAATATATCACACCATTTTTCACTGACACTTTAATCTTTGATTGTTTGACTTGCAAAATTTTAACATGTTTCTCAAAAAAGTAGCAGATTAGACAATATTATGTATGATAGACTTTATTATTCATTAATAAAGTTAAAAGAAGCTTTATGTTTGAAGTATGTCTCAAATATTTATACTTTTCCATTTTATCCCTACGTGTCACATTGTGTATCATGTTCATCAACTGCATGATGTCATGTTGCGAGCTTTCACAGTGCTTATGAAATGACTCAATGTAATCAGATTACAATTTCAGGTTATATTAATACATGCTGTTGAGGAGAATGATGATTCTGTTCACATTTTTCAATTTGTTTATGCAAATGAAAAATTAAACAAAAACATCATTATGCACAAATAGGAATGTAATATACCATATTTCAGAATATGAAATACATCTTAACATTATTTTTAAAAAAGTAATAAAATGTAGTTGTTTTAAGAATGTTAAAATCCAAAATGACATTGTAACAAAGCAATTTGTAGTGTAATTTTGGTGTGCACATATTGAAATCAAAGGTTAGTTTTATCATTTCTTTTACATTTGAGTTTTGTAGGGTTGAGGAATTGTCATCTGAGTTTTGCCTGTAATTTTTAAAAGTGAAGTACTATTCTAAGTGTAGGAAAGTAACTAGCAGTGCCAAACAAAAACCTTTAAATTTTAATTCAAGCATTAAGAAGTAAATGTTTTAATATAACAAAATTAACAAAAAGTACTTACTTGTAATAATTTAGAAAATTTGTTTTGGTTATTTTCATAGATTTTGAATTTTTTAATAGCATGCTGATGTAAAACAGCATTTCATGAAATAGTGCAACATTTGTACAAGACACTATGCAACACGTGGGTATAAAATGGAAAAGTACCCTAATATTATTAATTATTAATAATAAAATTTTGTGAATTAAGCATGCTTTTTGAATCTGTTATAAACATAATACTCTTGATATCATATTATTATTAATGTTGTATTATTAGTATTATTTATTATTAATAGCTAAGATAATATAGTCAGTGTATCCAAAATTTTAAATTACATGTTAGAAATGATTACAAGTATATAATGCATAATTTGTTTCTCCATAACTATCTTATTATATTTAGGCATTGAAAGTTCTCAGGACAGCAGAATATGCTCCTTATGTTGTTTTCATTGCTGCACCATCGGTTGGAAATCTTCATGATGTAATTATTTATTTTTACATTTATTAAATTTGTATTTATATATGTATGTATATATTATTTAAAATAATTTAATTAAAATAGGTTTTGGCTTAATAAATTTTTAAAACAATACTTAGCATTGAAAAGCTGTAGATTTAGCTTATTTTTATCATCACATTTTAAATGATTTTGATGGTATAATTTCTACATTTAAAATTTGCTTAGTCAAACATTTTTTAATTTTAGAAACTTATTCATTATCATCTGTTTAGTGCAAAAATAGAAATAGTTATATTACAAATCCCATTGTGTTAGAGTTATAAGACAGCAACTGCACACTGGGTTGTATATAGCAAAATATGACCTACTTGAACCTATAACTGGTGCATATAAAGTTTAATCTTCCAAAACAAACGTTTTCCTAACCCCTAGAGTTAGAGTTACTGACTTAAAAATATAGCAGATTAAATTTGTTTGATTCCAGACCTATTGCCAAATATCTAGTTCAGAAATACCTCATTGGTACTAGGGTTTCTCATTTCCCGGTCTTTTGCTTGTCCCGGGATCCCAGGATAAAAGTGAACTGTTTCCCGGGATCCCGGGAAATCCCAGGATAGAATTAATCATTTTTAAGGTATACAAAATATCTTGAAATCAAATGATATAGTTATTTTCCATTTTTTAAAGTAATTTTAAAGTTCTGTAACCTCCAAAATTATATTAATAATGCTGTGTAAGGTCTATAGGCCTATAATAAAAATTACCTTTAAATAACGTAGAAATTTTCACAAATAGAAAAAAATTAATTAAAGTTTGCTGGAAACTGCATACAACAACAACAANCTACGCGTGTGCGCGCAGAAATAGATTATCTCTGTGCCATTTTAACACACAACAGTTTAAAAAATAACCCATCAAACACTAGTTTCTCAGTAAGACATACAAATATTGATAAACACATTAATAATATATATATATTTTTTTTTTTATCATGCAACTAGATGCTTTATAAATGTATTCTGCATGACTATGTTCTGTAAAAGTGTGATGTTTAGAACGTTAAATGCATATAAATGTGTACATGTACATGTGGCATAATTAGCAGAATTCAGTATGAAGTCTGAATATTGAATAATGCTTTGAAATTTGCATGCTTCAAGTCTTAATAATGATTCGAAATTTATAAATATACACTTTATTTGAGTCATTTATTTACTTATTTATATGATATTTTTTAAGGGTAACTTGGAGGATCAAGTTATTCAAACTAATCCAGTATTAGAAGCTTTTGGGAATGCCAAAACTGTGAGAAATGACAACTCTTCCAGATTTGTAAGTTTACTAATTAAAAAAAAAGGCCTCTCAATTGTTTTTAATTACGATTTTTACAATTTGTTTACTGTTTTTCAAGGGTAAATTTATCCGTATCCACTTCGGTCCTATGGGAAAATTGGCTGGTGCTGACATAGAAACATGTGAGTAAGAGTTTTAAAAAAATCTCAGTTATTAAATTTGAACAAGTATTATAATATTTTTGATTATTTAGACTTGCTTGAAAAAGCTCGTGTGATTTCTCAGCAACCTTTAGAGCGATCATATCACATTTTTTACCAGATTACATCAGGCCAAATTGCAGATCTTAAAGGTAACGTTGTAAATATATATATATATATATCCATATTTTGTATGTATATAATATACATGATTGATGATTGTATATATACTGTATATGCAATTATCAATCGTACTAGCATATGCAAATGTAGCCAATCAGATATACATTAAAAAATAGATTATTTATAATTTTTGAAAGAATGTGTGTTATATTTTTGTTGTCATCCAGAAATAGTTGATTTTAATTCTGTTTTTTTCTAAAATTTGCCACTTATTTCATCTAGATATATAAAACATTTTTGCCTAATTTCAAATTTTATATTCTCAAATTTCATTTTGAGCCATTTATTTTTGAGTATTTTGGATTAATTTATTTACATAATTATATGTAATAAATTGATTATTAACCTGGTTAATTTAATAATTAATTTTATTTCTTTATTTGCTTAATTGGAAACAAATTTATAAGACAACTGTTTTATGAATATTTCAGTACAATTTTAATTAATCAAGTGAGCTTTATGTAAAATGTAATTAACACACTCAAATAACCTTGAAAAGCAGCAAAAATTTAATAACTAAAATGTTTTGGGACATTTTTAACAACCTTCTTCCAGTGGAATACATAATGGAATACTCAAATAATCTTTTTCAAGGTTGTTTGAGTGTGTTTGTCATCTTTATCTTTACAGAGCAACTCTGAATTAGTAAAATGTAATTTTTTTTTTTATATTAATGCCATTATAAGGAAAAATTTTTTATCATTTTTTGATTACTTATTTTTATATGGTTTATTATTTTAAATAAAAATATTTAATTTAGGTGGATGGAAGTTTAGAAAGACTAGCAAAAGAAAGTGAATTATTGCGGCAAGCATATGGACATTTTTTTGATCTCACCATTGTCAACAACGACATTGATGAAACTATTCGAATTTTAGAAAAAACTTTGGATAAAATCAACACAATACCACAGTGGGTACCTGTGAGTTGGGTTTATTAATGACAAACATTTTTAAGGACAGCAAAATTCTGCAATTTATAGGAATTATGAAGCTATCGGAATCAGGACCTACTGCCTTTTTTCTACATAATACAAAAGAGAAAGAAATTTTGTGCTATTTCTTCATATTTAATCTTTAGGAAGATTTTCATCAATCATTCCTATGGATGGATGCCACAACATTCATAATTTTGAAGTCAATCATTTTATGTGATAGATCACAATTACAATTGGGATTTTAAGAATAGGTCTTCTATCACTGGCATGATTCGCTTCAAGGATTGCACTGCCTTGTAAAGTAAAAGGATTTGTGGGTTTTTGTGTTTCCAAAACAAAGTACTAAATGGTAAATGGCAATGAATAAAATAGTGAAACTTAATAATAATCTATTTCGGTCTGAGGTAATCTTTTAATTAGAATTAAAAATATTTGAGGGTTTTGGATATTAAGTACTTCTTCCAAAGTTAAATTTAAAAGTACCAAAATTTCAAAAAAAATTGTCTTTCTTAATAATCAAGAAGCAGTTAAGCAAATTCATATCGAATAAGAATAGAAATAGAATTATAAAAATGTGCCTATTCTGAGTATTAATTGAATCTTGCATAATTAAATATTATAAAAATCTTTAAATATTCATATATTAATATGTTTATTTTTTAAAATGTTTTATAACAATTTTATTTTTTAAAATAATTTTGCCAAAATGGTCTTTAAAAATGTGTGTGCCAAATTTCAAAAATTATTTTTGAATTATTAAAATAATACTTAATAATTTTATGGCACATTAATTTATTAATTTTGCTTATAAAGCAAAATTATTTTCATTTTGATTTAAAATAAATATCAACATCAATTTTGTATGTTTAGTTATTTTCACTATAAATTGAAATATTTAAACTATGATGAAAGATTCAAATAATGATAATACTGTAATAACAATAATAATAATTATAATGGTAATAGCAAATGAATGAGAACTGATAGAAAATAAGCATACACAATTCTGTGATATAATAACTTTTTACATTTCCTAAATCTCTTCCTTAAAACTATGATTAAAGCAATATTAATTAAATATATTTCATATATATATATAGATATATTTTTTGTTTATCGATTCTCCTATTATAAATCTCTATCCTTTTAATAATAAATTATTTATTACATTTATAATGAATTTTCTTAAAAGTTTCTTTATTATAATTTAGAATTTGAATAATGTATTTTAGAATAGAAAAACTTTTAGTGACACATTAGATTCTTCTTTCAAAAAAAAAAATATTCTCAAAATATTAATGATAACATTCCATAAATTAAAATACATAATTCATCTGTAAGCTGACCATCTGAGAAATTAGATCAGTTTATAAGTCATAATTTGTAAAATGTCAACTTTTGTAGAAATATGTAAATGAAAATATTTTATTCTTTTTATGCAAATTATAGTCATTTTTTGTACTTTTCACTCATTTTATATTAAAATATTTTGTAGTGTTTAAATTATCAGTATGCAACTGAAATGTGGCAATATTCATATGAAACAATGACCTATTTAAACAGTATTTAAGTTGGTAGAAGTCGACTTATAGATGAATTACTGCATTATAAAAAGAGTCAAAAATTATACTGTGTATTATTTTTATTTTACTTTTAAGAAATCTTAAAAGTAATTTTATGTTTGACCAAATATACAATAATGGAACAATAATAAGAAATAAAAATTATTATTTTTTTAATTTTACACTTTCTTTTTTTTTTATAAGAGTTTTTGTTATAGAAATTTATTATCATTTCCATATTATTTTATTGCATGGAATTTGGAAGGATAATATTGTTATAATTATATAGGTTATAATTATTTAATATTATTAATGTTAATAATATGAAATCTTTATGAAACTGGAAGAGAATGTAATAGTCAATAAAAACAATGTTAACAATTGAATTTAAGCTTATTTTCTTAATATGTTATATTATTTTGTACAAGAATATCAAAAACTTATTTAAATAAATAGAATTTTAAAAATTAATTTTAAATACAGCATTATTTAAAAATAATAATATTACAATATATACATAAGATCATATAATGTAATATATATAAAATTATATCTGAATGAAAAGATGAAAAATTTAAATGTAGTTTATTATTGATAGAAAGTTTTACTTAAAATAGTTAATAAATTATAAAGATCTATCATCAGTAATTTCATCCATTATTAAAAATATAGATTTATGAACATATATTATTTATAAATATGTACCAAAATGGGATGTAAAAGATCATTAAGAGTACAGTAATAAATACATAATGATATTTTCATTCAATATTAAAAGCTATTTTTAATTGTTAAAAAATAGTTCTTAGAATGGATAATATACACACATGTCCAAAACTTAAGAATGAATGGCATTTGTGTATGAATAGAAAGAACTGTAGACAAATGCAGACAAAATATGGCAAGAACTGTATTACTTGACATATCACACAAGGTAATACACAACAACTTGTAGGATTTTACAAATCAAAGCGACAAATATGTCTTTAGTGAAAAAGATACATACAACAGTCAAACATAATTGGAGAATGGATGGAAATTGCTTACCAATACCCAGGCAGAGACCTATCAGTATGGAATATGTTCACTTTGAACTGCAATGCAGCAGGCTCATCAGTGACTGGCTCAGTGACTTGTTCTAGCTATTATCACTAGCAATCATAACAACAGACACTGAACTAATTTCCTGTTCATATAATGAAAAAAACCAAATACTGCACAACAGTGGCATGCCATGACATTTGATGATAGAGAAGCTGTGTTTCCATAAAAATTTTAAACAAATACTGGAAATGACTAAAATAACCAGTTTATTTATTTTAATTGTAAAATAGATAATTGACACAAAACCAGTTAGGGAAGCTGTGGAAAACTGCACTCAACAGATGCACTCATAGATGGTACCGTAAAAATTAATGATATTAAATCATATAATAAACTCCAAATATCTTTTAAAATGCAGTCTATTTTAAACAACTTATCGGTTGTTTTCGGTCAAATTAACAGACCTTCTTCAGGATCAAACTAACAGAATTTAAATTTGCCAAACGGAAATTCCAAAACGTATGCTTTACAATCTTCTCAGATTCGATTGCGCAAGTCCATTTGTTCTTTATAATTGTAACACTACCGCTTTCCATGCTGATGCTATTTTGTTTGATTCTCGAAAATTTATATTTTGCCCTTTATTTATAAATGTTCCAGGCTTTTACATACTTTAGCTGTCGTCTATTACCAATTTTTTGTATAACATTGCCCTGCTCTATTCGATTGCAATCTCTGTTGGATCTGCGATCGCATAATTAGCCAAAGCTGTGACTGGTTGTTTAAATCTTATATTCTTTTTGTGCTCCTTCAATCTTTCATTTAACAATCTCTTTGTGGCTCCTATATAATATAGCTCCTTTTTCAGCCTCTTATCATGCAATGGTATTCTGTACACACCTGGAACTAGCCTCCTATCTATGGGTGTATTTTGTCATTTCTTAGCATTTGGAATATTGTTGTGTTTCTCTTATACGCTATTTTCTTGTTGCTCTCTATTCCTATTTTTCTGTATATGTTACTTAACGGTGCCCTGTATTCCATTATGGTAAACTCCTTTTTCTCTTTCTTATCTTTAGTCCTATTGCCTCCTTTTTCTGCTTCTTGTATTAAGGCTTTTACTTTACTTTGCTTAATTCCTACATCTCTTGCTAGCTTTGCGATGTATTCAAGCTCTTTACGTGTGTCATGAACCTTGCTACAATGAGTGTATGCTCTTTTAATCAGTGCTCTAAATGCTGCTATTTTGTAGCTTGTTGGGTCATGAGAGGACCATGGTATCAAATGAAGAACATACGTCGGCTTTCTATATACTTTCGTAGCAATTTGCCCTTCTTCATCTATTTCAACCTCTATATCTAAATCAAAATCATAAAAGGTACATTTCTTAGATATAGAGGTTGAAATAGATGAAGAAGGGTAAATCGCTACTAAAGTATATAAAAATAGCAGTGTTTAGAGCACATTAAAAGAGCATACACTCATTGTAGCAAGGTTCATGACACACGTAAAGAGTCATGAACCTTGTTGCATTTCAATTAACTCTTCTTGTATTTCATCCGGCACCTCAGAAATGTTGATTATGAAAGGATTGCAAATCAGTTTCCGAATACCTTTGTCCTTGCAGTCAGGAAAATAGCGATTGAATTGATTTTTCAAGCTTTGCAAATGGAATGTAATGTTCTTTTGTATTTGTCCTTTAATCTCAGCACACTGTCAATCAATAATTGGGTTCAATGTATCAAACGCAGAAAAATTCTCTCTTTCGACTTTGCTGATCCATAGGTCGATTTTAGCGATAAACGCACTGATTTTATCTTCAAATGCAAATTTATTGCTAGTGACTTCCAGTTTCATATTTTCTGATCGCGCACCATACCCCAGTCCAGTCCGCTATCCGCTCTAACCTTGACGTACTGCGCATTGTCATCAACGCGTCGTCATTTATTTAATAATTTTGGGATAACTTTCGCGGACCACTTCGGGTGCTTTCAGGGACCACCAGTGGTCCACGGACCACAGGTTAAGAACCACTGATATAGATACTCAAAGTCCCAAAATTCCATAGGTGATTATCTATATAATAATTTCTCTAATTGTATTAATATTTTAAACCGTTTGATTTTTTGTATGTTTTTTAATTGGTTGATGATTGATTCTATCAAGTAATTTGTTGATTGTATTAACTTGATTCTTTAGATATTGAAAATTAAATAAAGAACATTATGTTAATTTAAGCGTACAGAAACGTTGCTGTTGTTCCAGCAAAGATCTTATTTTCACTTTACCGAGTGCCTAGTAGGTAATTTTCAGATTACCCAGATAATCTGCACTTTACCTAGGTACTTTGAGAAATAGAACAATTTTAGCAACTTTAACGGATCACCCTAGTTAATC